ATTTTTTAATTGTTGTTATCAGTTATCAGTTAACTTTTATATATTTATCATTATAAGTTATAGTAAGAAATAATTGAATAATTAAGATAACATTCAATATGACTGATAGTGAATAATCAAAATGATAACGATGAATTAATTAATAAATGATTAATAATTTTAAGTAATTTCTGTTTTTAAAATATTCCTGAATAATTCATGATTATAATCTATGATAATGATTAGCTCGATAATCAAGATAACATTCAGAATGACTAATAGTGATAATTAAATTGAATAATATTCAATGTAACTGATAGTGATAATCAAAATGATAACAATGAATTAATTAATAATAGATCAATAATTTTAGCTGCTATCACTTTCTGAAATATTCCCGAATAATTCGTTATCATGATCTATAATAATGAATAGCTTCATAATCAAGATTTTATCATTATAATTTATAAAAATGATAGCGATGAATTAATTAATAAATAATCAATTTGATAATTAAATGATTAATCACAGCAATAAATGTAACTAATTAGATGATAATTAGATTTGAAGAAAATTTATTATCGAATAATAAAATTTAAATCAAAAAATAAAAACAAAAAACATTGAGAAACTAATTTTTGGCTATAGCAAATGTTTAATTTACATATTTATTATTTGTAACTTTCTTGTTTATATTGTTAAATTCTTATTATAATATTAAACTAAAATCAAATTTTTGATTAAATATTTTTTTTTGAAATATCACAAAAAAAAATTATATAAAATATATTTTGCAAAGAAAAAGAAAAACAATAATAATAATTTTTTAAATTTTTATTGTTAATAAATATTCTTTTAATTGAATATTAATGGAACATTTGCATTTGAAATTTGAAATGTTTGAGTTATTTAAAGTGAATTTATATTAGAAAGGTCAATAGGTTAACAACAATTAAAAAAATTTAATTAATTAATTAATTAATTATCAGACCTGATGATATCAGTGATAACTTTGAATGATTATTTAATGAATGATACTGTGTGGTAGCAATTTTAGTTTGACAAACAGTGGTGACAATACATTGACGTGTCAATCGTCCATATGTTATCATATGATAAAGCCACCACATTATCACTAAACTGATATGATATAATTTTTTTTTAATTAAAAATTAAAATGAAAAATTATAAACAATAAAAATTGAAAACTGCTCTAACAATTATTATTGATCAATAAAGTGTATAGAAATATTTCACATTAAACTTTTTTCAAAAACATAAAAAATAAACAAACAAACAAAAAAGAAAAAATGGTAGGATCAAAAGTTTGGTAATCAAGAAAAAAGCGGGTAAATAATTTGGGTAACCTCTTACCTTTTACATGATTATCTGCTTTTCAGGGCAAAAAGAAAATCAAAAACATAAACAAATAAATAAACAAACAAAAAAGAAAAAATAGTAGGATCAAAAGTTTGATAATTAGCAGGTAAATAATTTGGGTAACTTTTTATTTTTTGCCTAATTATCTGCTTTTCAGGGCAAAAAAAAATTAAAAACATAAACAAATAAATAAACAAACAAAAAAGAAAAAATAGTAGGATCGAAAGTTTGAAAATTAAAAAAGAGCGAGGGAAATAATTTGGGTAACTTTTTACCTAACTACCTGCTTTTCAGGGCAAAAAAAATTAAAAACATAAACAAATAAATAAACAAACAAAAAAGAAAAAATAGTAGGATCAAAAGTTTGATAAATAAAAAAAAAAGCGAGTAAATAATTTGGGTAACTTTTTACCTAACTACCTGCTTTTCAGGGCAAAAAAATCAAAAACATAAACAAATAAATAAACAAACAAAAAAGAAAAAATAGTAGGATCAAAAGTTTGCTAATTAAAAAAAGCGAGGCAAATAATTTGGGTAACTTTTCACTTTTTACCTAACTACCTGCTTTTCAGGGCAAAAAAAAAAGAAAGAAAATTTTGTTTACCATTAATTACTACCTCCCTATGACTCCTATTATTATTAATATAAACATCAGAAATTAGAAGAATGAAAAATATTTTGAAAAAAGAAGAAAAAACTTTTTTCCTTCTTTCAAAAAAAAAAAAAAAGTTAAACAAATAATTTTGTTATTGATTTTTTCCATTTGTTTTGTTTATTAATTTGATTTTTTTATAGAAATGTCAAATTTAGTGTGACAACAAAAAATTTTTTTTGAAAAGTAAACATAAGAAGAAAGTATGAATGAGAGAAAATAAGATGATGGTAGGAGACAATTGCAAAAAGGAATGTCATTTGCGCCCCATTTTGTTTAACAATATTTGATGAATTAGAGGGAGGGAAAGAGAGAGAGAGAGAGAGAGAGAGAGAATTTGAAATGATTGATTGGAATATTGATTGATTGATCGGTTGATTGAGTGAAATATTGATGCTATTTAGAATTTTTTCAAATTGATTAATTCATTGAAATGAAATTATTGATTAATTTGTTGAAATGAAATTATTAATTAATTTGTTGAAATGAAATTATTAATTAATTCACTCAAATAAAATTATTAATTGATTTGTTGAAATGAAATTATTAATTAATTTGTTGAAATGAAATTATTAATTAATTTGTTGAAATGAAATTATTAATCAATTTGTTGAAATGAAATTATTAATTAATTTGTTGAAATGAAATTATTAATTAATTTGTTGAAATGAAATTATTGATTAATCGTTTTTTTGATTTTTGATTAAAAATGATTTGTTGATTAATTTTTGATTAAAAGCATATCACATTTTCCTCATTTTTTTTTTAAATTTACTAAAAGTATTTTTTGTCATAATTTGATGACAAAAAAAAAGAAAAAATCATTTAAATGTTTTTTTTAAAAAAAAAAAAAAAACAAAGAAATTTTTCCATTTAATCATATTAGTTTTTTTTTTCTCTTTTTTTTTCAAAATTATTTTTTAAATCATATTTTACTCTTTTGAAAAAAAAAGAAAAGAAAAATTCATTACTTAGAAAGAAACAGAAAAGATCAATAAATGATCAGTGAATCTTATAGTTTATTAATAAATACTTACAATTACCTAAGTATTTACTTTGCTTTACTTTACTGTTACTAATAGTTGTGTATAACTTTTTTTCATTCAATTAGTAATTGCTTTGCAGAGTTTTACTTTTATTTTTAATTACTTTTAATTCATAATTGTTTTCAGTTTTACTTTCATAATTAATGATTGTTTGTGAAGTTTTAATGTGAAATATGTACATAAACGTATCATACACGTACGTTAATAATTACTTATATCCAATATGAAATGGGATATTAAAGGATTATTCATAAATTGTTGTGTACTTGTGAAATAAAAAAACGTGTATTATAGGCATGACTGAAATGAAGGAAACGAATGTACGCGTATGATACGTATGACTGAAATGAATGTACGTGTATGATACGTATGACTGAAATCAATGTACCTGTATGATACGTATGACTGAAATGAATGCACGTGTATGATACGTATGACTGAAATGAATGCACGTGTATGATACGTATGACTGAAATGAATGCACGTGTATGATACGTATGACTGAAATGAATGCACGTGTATGATACGTATGACTGAAATGAATGCACGTTACGTGTATGATACGTATGACTGAAATGAATGTACGTGTATGATACGTATGACTGAAATGAATGTACGTGTATGATACGTATGAGTGAAATCAATGTACCTGTATGATACGTATGACTGAAATGAATGCACGTGTATGATACGTATGACTGAAATGAATGCACGTTACGTGTATGATACGTATGACTGAAATGAATGTACGTGTATGATACGTATGACTGAAATGAATGTACGTGTATGATACGTATGAGTGAAATCAATGTACCTGTATGATACGTATGACTGAAATGAATGCACGTGTATGATACGTATGACTGAAATGAATGCACGTTACGTGTATGATACGTATGACTGAAATGAATGTACGTGTATGATACGTATGACTGAAATGAATGTACGTGTATGATACGTATGAGTGAAATCAATGTACCTGTATGATACGTATGACTGAAATGAATGCACGTGTATGATACGTATGACTGAAATGAATGCACGTTACGTGTATGATACGTATGGCTGAAATGAATGTACGTGTACGATAGGTATGACTGAAATGAATGTACATGTACGATACGTATAACTGAAATGAATGTACGTGCATGATAGGTATGACTGAAATGAATGTACGTGTACGATACGTATGACTGAAGTGAACGTACGTGTATGATACGTATGACTCAAAGAAAGGAAACGAATGTACGTGTGTAATAGTTTACGTGTGTGATACGTATAATTGAAGTGATAAATATTATTTTATTGACATATTTTTAAGCATTGACATTTAACGAAAAAAGATTTTTTTTCGTCAAAAAATTCAATTTTTTAAAATTTTTATTTATTTTTAATTTAATAAACGATGTGAGTTATTATTATTAAAAGAGATATTTTTTTAAATATTTCAATTTCATTTCAAAATTTTTATTTGTAATTTAACTATTGAGTAATTCAAATTAGATCATTCAGACCTAACATCGACGAAAATATAAATTTTATATGAATCAGCGTGAATTTTTAATTTTTATTTTCGAAATTTGATGCATAAATTATAATTGATCCAAAATTATTAATTTTGATTTGATTAATTTTCAAAATTTTATGATCTAAAAATATATAAATATCGCTAAAAAAACAGTTTCACGCGAATTTCAGGAATGCAATTCAAGAATTACGTGTTATGCTGCGTGAAAATTTATTTTTTAAATTAATTTATTATAATAAAAGAAAAAATTGATACGTACAACAAAAGTGATAGTTTACAAATTGAATTGAAATATGCATTAAAACAATTAAATGTAATTATTAATTTAAAATTATTAATTAAAAAAATTTTCAAAAATTAAAAATTACATTTGTGACAATAAGTGTGACATTTTTTTTTTTTTTTTGCATTTGAATCATTCGATAAAATGTCGAATAAGTTCCATTGGTAGTGGAAAAATTATTGTTGAATTCTTTTCAGCACTAAATTAAAAGAATAAATAAATGAAAAAAAATATTTGAAAATTTGATATTTGAAATTAAAAACTTGATTTAATAACTAAAAACTAAAATTTTGAAATTAAAAAAAAAGATGTAAATGACGCAATTTATTTAGTTCATTTAATCAATAATTGAGCTTTCTATTTAAGTGATTTTCGCTAAATTAAAAATAAAAAAAAGAATTGATATTTGAAATTTGATATTTGAAATTAAAAACTTGATTTAATAACCATTATAACTATTATTTATAACTTTAATAACTATTATTTAATAATAATTATTACTTAATTTAATAACTAAAAACTAAAATTTTGAAATTAAATGATATTAATGATGCAGTTTATTTAATTGATCTGACAAATAAACGACCTTTTAAGTTTACGCTAAATTAAAAATAAAAGAATTGATATTTGAAATTAAATTTGAAATTAAAAAATTTGATTTAATAACTAAAAACTGAAATTTTTGAAATTAAAATGCTATAAACGTTGCAATTTATTTAGTACATCTGATAAACAAATGAGCTTTCTATTTAAAATAAGATTTTTTTGAATTTGAATTTAAATTTTTTTTCTGTTTCAAAACTTACGCTACACTACTAAGTGTTTGCAGATAACGTAACTGCAACGCTGCAGGCGATTTTGATATAGTCAATGCCGCTTCTTGCAACGAATGTGATGCTTTTTGCTCACCTTCCGCTGCAATCACCTGCAAAATGCATGCAGTATTTTAATTGAAATTTACGAAGTAAATATGATATTAACAAATTTTTTTTAAAAAAAAAAAATTTTATTAGTTAAAAAATATATAAATTTTATTCCAAAAAAAAAAAAAATTGCAATTATAATTTTTTTTTTTCAAAATTAATTAAATTAGCGATTAATTAAATTTTAGAAAAAATATTAATTAAAGAAAACAAGCAGATAGTTTAATTCTTTTAGTATTATTTCACCAAAAAATATTTGAAATAACAAAAAATTTGAACGTTTTGTTTTTATTTACTTTTTAATTAAATAATTAAGTAAGGTTAAAAAAAAATAATTTTTTATTGCTATTTTTACTTTTCATTCATTTTTCTAAATTATTATTAATAAAAACAAATTAATTATTAAAATTTTCAAAATCATTAATTATACTTTTCATTTATTATAAATTATTATTAAAATTTTTCTAAATTATTAATTATAAAAAAAATTAATTATTAAATTTTTCTAAATTATTAATTATAAAAAAAATTAATTATTAAATTTTTCTAAATTATTAATTATACTTTTCATTTATTAGAAATTATTATTAATTAAAATTTTTCTAAATCATTAATTGCCTTTGCTCGAGCTTCACGTGCTGCTTCTGCTTCAGCAGCCATTGCACGTTGTAATTGTACCGGAAGACGAACATCTTTTCTGAAATAGCTGCAATTATTTTCAGGAATGAATAATTCGTGAATATTCTCTGATCCGGATTACAAATTAGATGTGTAAATAAATTTAAATAATTTGTTAAATTATAATATGAAAATACTCCGTAATGATTGATCCCTTCTTTTCATTCTTTTTCTTTTTTAAATCATTTAATTTAATTTGAAGAAGTGATAAATAACTTAGTTAAATTGACTTAAATTTTTAAATCAGAAAATCAATAAATAATTTTTAATAAATAATTTATGATATAAATAAAATTTTTATCAAAAAATCAATAAATAATTTTTGATAAATAATTTTTGGATATAAATAAAATTTATATCCAAAAAATCGATAAATAATTTTTGATAAATAATTTTTGATATAAATAAAATTTATATCCAAAAAATTGATAAATAATTTTTGATAAATAATTTTGCATCTGTTAAAAGTGACTTAAATTTTTATATCAAAAAATCAATAAATAATTTTTGATAAATAATTTTTGATATAAATAAAATTTATATCCAAAAAATTGATAAATAATTTTTGATAAATAATTTTTGATAAATAATTTTTGGTTATAAATAAAATTTATAACAAAAAAATCGATAAATAATTTTTGATAAATAATTTTGCATCTGTTAAAAGTGACATTTGTGTTAATCAATAAAAGTTAAATGATAAGATAAACTAACATACATTTCAACTCGTTCAACTTTAATACCCCATCTCTCTGTTACATCATCTAAAAGTACCTGAAAAAAAAAATGAAATTTAATAATTCGAATCAATAATTGATTATTAATTATCAATTTACTTTATCAATTATCATTTTGATAAGAATGTTTGATTAGAGAAAAATTATAATATATCATTGAAAAATATCATTTCAAAATTAAAAAATATTTAACAATTAAAATGTTAAATGATAATTATTAAAAAAATAAGCTAACAAAGAGAGGAAGAGAAGGTGAAGAGGAGAGAGAGAGAGAGAGAGAGAGAGAGAGAGAGAGAAATATGTTTTCAAAATTAAAAAACATTTAACAATTAAAATTTTATATGATAACAAATATTTTTCATATATTTTTATTAAAATCTAACAAAAAGAGGAAAAGAGGGATAAAATGAGAGAGACAGAAAGATAGAGAGAGAGAGAGTGAGAGAGAAAGATATCGTTTTAAAATTAAAAACATTTAACAATTAAAATGTTATATGATAACAAAGGTAAAAATAGACATATATCAAATTATAAAATAATTTTCATATACTTTTAATAAAATCTAACAAAGAGAGAAAAAGAGGGGAAGTGAGGGAGAGAGAAAGGGAGAGAGAGAGAGAGAGAGAAAAATATCTTTTCAAAATTAAAAACATTTAACAATTAAAATGTTATATGATAACAAATTTTTTTCATAAATTTTTATTAAAATCTAACAAAGAGAGGAAAAGAGGGGGGAAAGGGAGAGAGAGAGAGAAAGATATCTTTTCAAAATTAAAAACATTTAACAATTAAAATGCTATATGATAACAAAATTAAAAATAGACATATATCAAATTCTAAAATATTTTTGTATACTTTTAATAAAATCTAACAAATCGAAGGAAAAAGGGAGAAAAGAATAGAGAGAGAGAGAGAGAGAGAGAGAGAGTACGAAAGAAATTTTTCCCTCACAAATTTATTCTCGAAATATTATTTGTCATCTTGTTATCATTGATGTTTTTCTTTTTTTGACCATAACAAATGATAATCAATAATTACAATAATTACTTATGTATCAACTATTTTTGTTTTTTTATTTATAATTTTTTATTATCATCTTTTAAAAAACATTTAACCTGCATTGATAATGCAATAGCATCACGATCTGATAAGATTTCTGATAAGCTTTTAGTACCAAGCATATTACGTAACGTTGTTTGTGCCAATAATCTGGTAGAATGATGAACATTTTCAACATTTGCTACTGATATTGTAGCATTACATATTCGATAGTATATCACTGCATCAACGCTTACTGTTACAGAATCTTTTGTTAAAATCTAAATGATAATAATAAGTGATAATAAAATGATAATGAAATAATAAGGTTATTAGAAGAGTAATTGTTTTATTTATTTATTTTTTTAAATATTTATTAATTTATCAATAATATTGAAATGATAATTTATTATACGTCTCTTATCAGCATTAATAGGTGTCACTTATCAGCATTATTAGAATTATTTATCGTCATTATTAGATAATCACTTATCAACGTCGCTAGGTAGCATTTATCAGCATTATCAGATATTATTTATCGTCATTATTAGGTATCACTTATCAGCATTATCAGATATTATTTATCGTCATTATTAGGTATCACTTATCAGCATTATTAGAATCGTTTATCGCCGTTATTAGATATCAATTATTAGCATTATCAGGTATCAGTCAGCATTATTTGAATCATTTATCGTCATTAATAGATATCACTTATCAGCATTATTAGATGTCATTTGTTAGCTTTAGTACAAGTCTCTTATTAGAGATTGTTAGATATGACACATTAGCATCAGCACCAACATACATTTCTTATCAGCATTGTTAGATATCACTTATCAGCATGAGTATATATCTCTTATCACCCTTATTAGGTATAACTCATCAGTATTATTAGATATCACTTATCAGTGCTATTATACATCTTTTATTAACACTATTAGATGTCACTTATTCACTTATTAGTATTATCATACATTTCTTATCAACGCTATTAGATATCACTTATCAGTATTATTATACATTTCTTATCAAAACTATTAGATATCACTTATCAGTGTTATTATACATCCTTTATTAACACTATTAGATATCACTTATTCACTTATTAGTATTATCATACATCTCTTATCAACACTATTAGATATTACTTATCAGTATCATTATACATTTCTTATCAACGCTATTAGATATCACTTATCAGTGTTATTATACATCTTTTATTAACACTATTAGATATCACTTTTCAGCATTATTATACATTTTTTATTAACGCTATTAGATATTACTTATCAGTATCATTATACATTTCTTATCAACACTATTAGATATCACTTATCAGTATTATTATACATTTCTTATCAAGCACTTTTTTCATCATGCAATACTAATCCATCATTATTTCATTAGTAGCAACTGTTAAATTTTAAACTTTACGAACGATGCTATTATATCATTTGTGATTTATTTCATTGATTATTTTATCATTAATGAGCTTTTCATCAGTTAAATTTAAACTATTAGCTAATTAATGCAAATAACTTTTAACAAATAATTTCAGAAATTTAAAAAAAAAACGAAAGTACTTTAATAAATTAATGAAATTAATAATTGATAAAAAAATTAATTAAAAACAAAACAAACTTCTTGTGGTGGTACATTAAATGATACCGTACGTAAATCTACCTTAGCATATGATTCTATACATGGTAATACAAAAAATATTCCTGAAATATTAATGAAAAATAATAATTAATATTTTATTATTAATAATATAACAATTATAATTATTCATTTTTGAATTAAAACATATAAATTTAAAAACAAAATTTTTTAAATTTATTAAACATAAAAGCAAAAAAAAAAAGATTTAAAATTATTATACCTGGACCTTTTGCGCCACCTCCAATTAACCTACCCAATCGAAATATTACAGCTCTTTCATATTCTCGTACCACCTTATAAGCATAAATTAATTTTTCAATATCACTTTTTTTTTTATTACTTTTTATTTTTTAACTTTTTTTTTTTTAAAAAAAGTTATCAAATTTGAGAGTACAAATCTATAATTCTTACTTAATTATTATTATTTTTACTAATTACTTTTTTTTTTTTGCAACCAAAACAAATATTATTTATATTTCAATGTTTTCTTTTTTTTTTATAATTTAAAAAATAATTTAATTAGTGTTTTAAAATAAATATTACCTTAAGACAGAAACAAACAGATATGGGAAATGTTGAAAAAAGTATAATCCAAGCAAGCATAATAACAAACCAACCACAAAAGCCAACACCGCTATCATAGGTATCAGCTAAAATATGATTAAAATTTCAAGCAATTAGTATAATAGCAAGTAAACAAAACAAATAGTAAACAATTAAAAATTTTTTATTTTTTCTTTTTTGCTTTTTAATCAGAAAAAAAAATTATTATTGCAAAATTTTCGTGAAAAAAAAATAATATTATCGTAAATTATTTATGGAAAAAATTAGATATATATCAAAAATATGTACTATCCTTTCAGTTAATTGTTTATTTATTTATTTGCTTGTTTACTTATTTATTTCTTCGTTTCTTGCGAATGAAAAGAAAAGTAAACATAAGTTATTGTGCAAATAATCCATTGAAAAAAAAAAAGGAAAAACGAAGTTAAATTTAATGAAAGTGCTCGAAATAAAAAAATATATATATCAAAAATATGTACTATGCTTTCAATTTATTGTTTGTTTATTTATTTACTTGTTTATTTATTAACTTATTTATTTATTTCTTGCAAATGAAAAAAAGCAAAGAACAAATAATCTGTTGAAAAAAAAAAGCGAAGTTAAATTTAATGAAGGTGCTCGAAATAAAAGAAAAAAAAGAAATAGAAATATATCAAAAATATATGTTTTCAATTTATCGTTTGTTTATTTATTTATTTATTTATTTTTTCATTTTTTGTAACTGAAAAGAAGTAAACATAGATTATTTTGCAAATAATCCATTGAAAAAAAAAAAATGAAAACGAAGTTAAATTTACTGAAAGTGCTCGAAATAAAAGAAAAAAAAAGAAATAAAAATATATCAAAAATATGTATTATGTTTTCAATTAAATATTTATTTATTTACTTATTTATTTCTTCGTTTCTTGCAAATGGAAAGAAAAAAAAGTAAACATAAGTTATTGTGCAAATAATCCATTGAAAAAAAAAAAGAAAAAGAAAAAGAAAACGAAGTTAAATTTAATGAAAGTGCTCGAAATAAAAATTAAAAAAAAAAAAAGAAAGAAAGTTTAAGTCTATAAGATTGTCTTTGATTAAATTGTCTCCAATAAAATTGTTTCTAATTTCGTCAATACTTTTCTTTTCTTTACTTTTCTTTTTTTTGCAAACAATGAAAACGAAAATAAAAAATAAATTGGCTTTTTAATCAAAAAGAAAAGAAAAAAAAAATTGTTAAAAATTTTGCAACAAAAAATTTCATTAAAATTATTCATTTATTTACATTTATATTTCAATTATTTTGTTCATTTTTTAAATAATTTTTCATATTCAATTTTAATCTGTTGCAGTTATTATTTGATAAAAAAAAAAGAAAATGAAAAAAAAATTAATTTAACAGCAATTTATTGAAATTTAAAATTGTTACACAAATAAAATGTATCAAAATATTATTAACAAATAAGAGTTATCACTAAAATTTATTGTGGAAAATAAGATGAATTAAAAATTTATGAAACAATAACAAATAAGAGTTATCACTAAAATTTATTGTGAAAGTAAGATAAATTGAAAATTTGTAAAACAATAACAAATAAGAGATTCATTAAAATTTATTGTGAAAATAAGTTATAAGCAGCGCAAATAAAATTTTTTCACACTCAAAATTAGCAATTAATTTTCATTTGAAAAATATGCTTGGCAATATTAAAAAAAACATTTTTTCTTAAAGATAAATAATTCGATAAATTTGAAAATAAAAAAAAGGAAGAAAAAAAACGATAAATAATTATCTTTAAATATTATAAATATATATTAAATTATTTTTCAAACTATCAATAAATACTACAAATATAAATTTTAAAATATATTTGAACATTAATTTTTCAATTTCTCTTTTAAGTATTATAAATATAAATAACAATTTAATCTTTAAATATATTAAATGCATATATAAAATATTAAATTATATTTAAATATTAATTTTTAAAATTCTCTTTTAAGTATTACAAATATAAATAACAATTTAATCTTTAAATATTCTCCAGTCAAATTATCATATTACTTTTATAAAATGTACCAAATAGCTATCATTCATTTATTCTAACTTTATCTCACGCAAACAACCACTGCATGTCGCATATTGCATGTTGCATGTCGCATGTTGCATGTTGCATGTCGCATGCTATGTCATCAAATTTAAAAGATATATACTAGTTGCATCATCATTTCAATTTTCTTCAATAATGTCTAATATCATCCAAAATTTTAGTACTTCATCAATAAATTCTCTTTTCGTAATTCAATTGTATGCTTAGCTCTTAGTTTAACTTTTATTTGCATTCAATTCTTTAGCTTAGCTTTTATCTTTTTATTTATTTATTTTTTTTTTTGAGAATAAAAATAATTTTTTTTTAATTTTAAAATATTTTTTTTTTTGTTATCAATTTTGAAAAATTAATTGTGCTATATGAATAGATTAAAATTTATGATTAATCGAAGAAAAAAAACCGATTAAAATTATTAAAATTAATACCATTTTTTAGCTAATAGGAAAATTTAGTATTTCTAACTGCCAAAAATATTTTTTTTTAAATATTACTAAAATTTAATTTAAACTGAAATATGATAAAATAGCAAATGCGCTATACTTTATTTGTACAACTATAGTTGAGTAAATTTTAAAATATAAATTGATAAAGAGTTTATTTTAAATTACTCATTTAAATTTGATAAATACAAAATAATTTTTGACTCTAAAATTTATTAATTTAAATATTAATTAAATTAAATTAAAAAATGAAAATTTGCACAAAAAAGTTTTATCAATACTATCATAAATTTTAGTTTATTTTTAGTTTGAATTTTAGTAATTTTACTGAATTGTTTAGAATATTTTTTCATTCATAATTTAATTTAACAATCTTTTGTTGCATTTGTTCATTATCCAATTGTTATTCATGCGTAAATGTCGCAGTGAATTGATAAAACCTAAGATTTTGCATTGAATATTTCATAAAGTAATAATTTAAAATGCTCAAATTTTCACTTAAATTATGCTATTCAGTATGTATATATACAATTTTTCAAAATTTAACTCTAAAAAAAAAAAGTAAAGTAATAAGAAAAGTAATTTAAAAGAAAAAATTTTGAATAAATAAATGAGAAAAGGTAAGTGTAAGAGAAATGATTTAATAGCATTATAAATTTTAATTCATTTTTTTATTAATATTATTTAATTTATTACAATTTATATTTATTATTTTATTTATATTACTATATTATTTGAATTGTTTTAAGTTAAAAACCTGAAGAAAAGAAGAAAATCCGGAAAATATCAGTGAATTTATTCATAGCAAACAAATTATATTTTCTCATTTCATTTGCAAAATATTTGTTCAAAATTCAAATAAAATTTTTAATTTTATAAAAAAATTTTATGGGTGCTAAATTTGCATAAATAGTAAGTTAGACTGTAAAAAAAGAAAAAATGCATCAAAATTACTATGTGATATGAATATTTTCATTAAAAAAGTTTTGCTTTCCATTTTTTTAATATTTGAATTTAAAAAAATTTGATGAATAAAATACTTTAAATGTGTAAAATAATATTTTCAAAAATTCTTTACGAATTAATATTTGATGTGAATTAAATTTGAATTTTTTGAAATAAATTTATAAAATAAATTTTAATAAATTGAATCTTATTTATGATATAAAATTTTTAATGATATGAAAAGAAATAAATCTTATTTATGACATAAAAATTGAAACTTTTGTTTTATATTCTAATTTTAATTTTTTTTTTCATCGTTAATTTCATTTTTTGTTCTCATTTTAATTTCACATTTTCATTTCTACACTTTTGAATTATTATATTAGTAATAAATTTTAACAAAAAATATTTTTACAAAAGTGTTGCTCAATTAATTTAATTATAATTAATTAATTTTTTCTTTTTTCCTTTTTTAAGCATAACATTAAATTTCATTATTTTTTGATTATATATTTAACGATTAGTTTGCAATTTCATACATATAATAATAAATTAAATTAGTATAATTTAAATTTCAATATATTTTAAGTTCATGTGTACATTGAAACTTTAAATTAGTATTTAGTATTTAACTGATTAATATTTAAATGAGAAATTTCTGCAATAGTTAATTAAAACTTTCAGAATTAATTAAGCTAATTAATTAATTATAAATTTTAGAATATATTAACAGATTATGAGTAATTAATTTATTTAAACAATTCAAAATATTTAATTTCATTTAATTGTCTCATTTCAATACTCGAGATTTAACTTGATCTGATGAAATTAATTCATGCAAAAGTAAATTATTGTATTAAGTTATCAAATTAAACAAAAATTAAAATTTAAAAAATTTATTACATATGTAAAAAATATAAAATAGAAAACTTATGAGAAATTTTTGTAATAATTAAAAATTAAATGATCATATAATCAGCACAAATATCAAACTAAAATTGAAATTTCTACTTAATTTGAATTTAAATTATCAAATAGCATTGAGATATTTTATCCAATCATTGAAATATATTCCTCTGCTTATGACGTAATTTGTTAAATTAAATAAGTTTAATTTACAACATAACGAATTACAACATTACTTTTGCTAAATTTAACAAAATAATTTACTTAATTTATATTGTTAATCAAATAATTGCTTTGATAATTATTTTTCAATAAAATAATTTTAATTATATTTTATATTTATGTTACATTGTTAATCAATAATTACTTTGATAATTATTTTTCAATAAAATAATTTTATATTTTTTTTTATTTTATTTATATGATAACATTTATGCATAATTAATTCATTTAAAAATTTTTTAAAAAAAAAAAAAAAAACAAAAAGATTCATTTTATTTTTTAAAAAAATGCCAAATATTTTATATTTTTTATATTATTTATATGATAACATTTATGCATAATTAATTCATTTAAAAGTTTTTTTTAAAAAACAAAAAAGTTCAAAAAAAATTTTTTTTAAAAAAAAAAAAGTCAAATAAAAATTTAAACTTACGATGTGCATTCTTTGGATAGTATGATAATTTCAATTGCGCCAAAGATTGCCGCCTTAATTCACGTTCCTCTTTAGCAAAAATTAATGGATTAAGTGTAAATCGTCGACCCATTCGTCCACCAGCTGATAATTTTCGTCTATCAGAATCATTATTCATATTGAAATTTCAAATTTTTATCATCTGTTAATTAAGCACAAACTGAAAAAATTGATGCTAAGTTTATATTTTCAAATCATTTTTATATCAGATGGATTGATTAGCGTTGATAAGAAATGATAAGAAGCAAAAATTGAAGTAATCTGAAAATTGATGCCAAGTTTACTTTTTTAAATCATTTTTATATCAGATAGATTGATTAGCGTTGATAAGAAATGATGAGAAGCTAAAATTGAAGTAATCTGAAAAAATTGATGCTAAGTTTATATTTTCAAATCATTTTTAATTCACATGATTGGCAGTGATAAGGATGATAAGAAGAAAAAATTGAAATAATCTGAAAAAATTCATGCTAAGTTTACTTTTTCAAATTATTTTTATATCAGATAGATTGATTAGCGTTGATAAGAAATGATAAGAAGCAAAAATTGGAGTAATCTGAAAAATTGATGCTAAGTTTATATTTTCAAATCATTTTTAATTCACATGATTGGCAGTGATAAGGATGATAAGAAGCAAAAATTGAAATAATCTGAAAAAATTCATGCTAAGTTTATATTTTCAAATCATTTTTATATCAGATGGATTGATTAGCGTTGATAAGAAATGATAAGAAGCAAAAATTGGAGTAATCTGAAAAAATTGATGCTAAGTTTATATTTTCAAATCATTTTTATATCAGATGGATTGATTAGTGATGATAAGAATGATAAGAAGCTAAAATTGAAGTAATCTGAAAATTGATGCTAAGTTTATATTTTCAAATCATTTTTATATCATATGATTAGCGATGATAAGGATGATAAGAAGAAAAAATTGAAATAATCTGAAAAAATTTATGCTAAGTTTATATTTTCAAATCATTTTTATACAGATGGATTGATTAGTGATGATAAGAATGATAAGGAGCAAAAATTGAATTAATAATAAATAAATTGAAAATTTATAATTATTCACACATATCATTAAATATTACTTTTGTGCTAATTCTTTTCTTCAGTATATTAAAAATAATCAAAATTTATTAATTGGCATTCATTTGCATTTTTTAAAAAAAAAAAGAAAACAAAGAAATTTATTAGAATATTTTCAACACAACAAAAAAAATTTGCTCATTTTTTTTTCAATTTTAAAAAAAAAAAAAAAAAAAAAACATTAATTTGTTTAATTATAATATATTTAATTTATTAGTAATGTTTTTTTTTTTGAAATAATATCATTAATAGCAATAAGAAAATATTAAAATAAAAATAATAACTAAGTGATTAAAGAAGCAAAGAAAAAAAAAGCGAAAATTAAACAACAAAATTTTAATAAATATAAAAGATAGAGATAAATATTGAAAATATTTTTAAATTAATAGATTTATACTTATGAAAAATATTTCTTTCTGCTATTAGTTGGAAAAAAAAATGAAAATTCATAAATTTTTCAAGTTAAATGATAAAAATTCAGTAAATTCTACTACGAAAATAATTCATTCTGATGATATATATTAAGAAAAAGAAAAAAATTTTGTGCACTTATTTTTCTTTTTAATATTTATTCATTTTTTCAAATATTAATAAAGCAAATATTTTTGATTTATTACTTTTATTCTAACCTTTTCTTTTTTTAAAAAAGTAAAAAAAAAATTTTTGTTTTTTTTTTTTTTTTTTAAATAATATTGCTAAAAAATTAAGGTATTAAAGGATAATTTACATTTAAAAATTACTTTTTTCCAATAGCAATGAAATAATGAAAACAATTCAAATACTTATATCAATTTCAATTATTGATTTCATATTTATATAATGTTTGCAAATGAAATATATAAAATTCAGTTTAAAAAACTTCCAAACTCATTTGATATCCCTTCTTTTTCATCTTAAAAAAATTTCTAAACTTTAGCTGTTTGGATCAGATTTTAAAATTAAATGATTTTGTTAATTGATTAATAAAATTACAAATTGAAATTAAATAATTTTCATATTATCATTAGGAAATGATAGTTGCACGATTGCTGTGAATTAAATAATAATTGATAAAATAAATTTGAATGAATCATTTTGATATAAAATTATTTGATTTATGTATTTTTCATGCTATTTTCCAATTAATTTATTTCAAAATTAAATACTATAGTTGCAATTTGAATATAATCGAAAAAAAAATTTAATTTTAGGAATAAATTTAATTTTAGCATAAATCTAAAATAGAGTAAATAATTAGAGCAATTTGTTACAAATATATTTTACATTTAAAATTTAAAGCTTAAATTTAATTAGTAATTTGTTCGTTTTCCTTTTCTTTTTTATTATTATTATTTTTTTTTTTAAATAAGTAAAAAAAATTTTTTTTTTTTTTATTGAAAAAGAAATTAGCAAAAGTAAAAAAGTCAACAATAACAACTATTTCACATTAGTTAGCATTTAGTAAATACTTAAGAGGTGTGGCATATTTACTGATTGCTATCCAAACAAACTTTAAATTATTAACCATGGTAACCATCACATCTTCACCACCAGCACCGCTAGCACCAACACCGCCAGCACCGCTAGCACCAGCACCACCACGCCTTCTCGATGTGTTCAGTATTTGCTACGAAGTATTTTCATAAATATTCATTTTGATGTGTGCCCCCTCCCCTTTTACCCTCCTAACCTTTCTCACTATCTCTCTTTCCCTCATTTCATATCAAAATTTAAAAAGTCATAAACTTTTTTTTTTTAAATTCTCTAGCTAGAATTACTATTATTTTTGCTTCATCTCTAACCATTCAAATTATCTTTTCAATATTCTCCTAATCATTTCTTATAATTATAATTATTATCAACGATAGATTATTATTATCTTTCATTATAGCAATACGGTAGTAGTTGAAAAAAATTGATTAAAAAGGGAAAAAAAAAATGAAATAATTTGTAAAACAGTTAAAAAAAAAAAATTTAATGCAATGAAAAGTAATAATGAATTCTGATAAAGAATTAATACTGAATTATTACATATATGTACCTATGGATTGATTGAAATTATTCCAGTTGTCAACAGTAAACATAATTTATATAAATTGTATCAATGATTGTAATATTGATAATTTAAATTATCATAGAACAAACTTAAAAAGTATGCACTATAGTGAAAGTGACAAAAGTCTAATAAGAATCATTGCACAATCAAAAGATTCTCCAATTAGTCTTATTTTGAAACTTCAACTTTATCTCTCTCTTCCTCTCTCCTTCTCCAATAATAAAGATTTTTTATAATTATGGTTTTTCAAAATGAAAAGTTTACGTTGAATAATAAGTAACAAATCAGAAAAGAAGCGCAATTATTGTCTGTTAATTATAAAAGAAAAAAACTAACATACACATCATGCAAAACAAAAAAAAAAAAAAAACGAAGAATTAATTCAATTTTAAAGTTTTAAAACAGCGCTGAAGTTTTCAAGTAAAATTCAACCAAAATGATAATTTATGCTAACATAAAATTATCTAAATGTTATCTAAAAGATGGAGTAGCATGTGAGCCAAAGAAAATCTAACGATAGATTACATTTGGCATAACTGAAGAAGCTTGTTAGATAAATATCCTAGGCTAGCATGGCAATACTTTAACATACATCAGTATAATATGATGATGTTAATATCAACAAGAAAAATATTATGAAATATGCTATCCATCCCTAATTTTTTTTTTTTTGCACATTTAAATTTCATTTTAAAAAAAAATAAATAAATAATCTCGTTATTTTAATTCATTCTAGCACACGAATTTTCAAAATTGTCAAAGTTTTTTAGTTCTTATTTTATTTTATTATATGCATTTGAGGTCATACTGTAATAGTTTACTGTAAGAATACCGTAATGTTCCTTACGCTGTAATATCTATCACACAGCAGTCTGAAGCATCATATAATTACTAAATTTGATATTAGTATTAATGTAAATTGCTTTTGATTTATGCTTATATTATTAAATGCATTGAAGTCATGCTATAAAAGTTAGTGCTGTAATAGTTTACCGTAGAAATACCGTACTGTTCTTTGCACTGTAATACAGTAGTCTGCGGTATCATAATCCTTACTAAATTTAATTAGTATTAGTGTAAATTGTTTTTGATATATGCTTATTACACTCATTGGGGTCATACTGTAAAGGTTAGTGCTGTAATAGTTTACTGTGGAAATACTGTACTGTCTCTTACACCGTAATATCTTCATACAGTAGTCTGAGGTGTCATGTCACTACTAACTTTAATATTAATATTAGTGTAAATTTTTTCATGCTTATATTATTGTATGCATTGAGATCATACTGTAAAAGTTAATACTGTAATAGTTTACTGTAGGAATGCTGTACTGTCCCTTCCACTGTAACATCTATCATACAGTAAATTTGTTGCAAATTTATTGAATACAGTAGTCTGATATCTCATATCATTACTAAATTTAATATTACTATTAGTGTAAATTGTTTTTTGATTTATGCCTGCATAATAAGTAAGATAAAAGTCAATTGATATAATAAATTTAATCGGATAAATTGCTTATTAGTTATGTCACGCAACATTTAACAACAACAACAACACGCGACACACTAATATTTGCTCTGTCCAACAATCTTTAAATGAAAAATTAAAGTGAGCATGAATTTTTCACTTTAATTTTCTACAATATACATAATTTTTTCATTACTCTATTGACTTTTAAATGAAATTTTTTCAGGTTAAGAATTTTTTTCAACTTAATGAAGTTAGAAAAATATAGAAATGACTATGTTTATAATAATTGATGCATAACATTTTTGAGTGAAATACTCTAAGATACTAAATGCCTCAAATTTCAAGTAAGTAAAATAAACATATAAGAAAACAAAATTTTTTAAATAACTAAATGATCTGATTATCCTATGCTGCTTAGAATACGGTGCACTGATCGTTCATTATACTTCGAAATTATTGCAAATTTACTGAATTATTTGAAAATAACAAAAGTCGGTGCTTTTTATCAAATGCTAAGA